CAATCTGAAAAAGCTGCTGTAGTTGTTTGATGTTTCCATTTTCAAATTTTTTATATAACTCGCTTCCTTGTAACAAATAGGGAGCTCAAATGTTCAACACCTATTTTTCCCTCAAATAAACTGAAGCTGAAACAAGAATAATGCTAACCTTCCTACAAGTATGCACGGAATAAACGCCAGCGATTCAGTCGTCATCATCATGATAGTTCGACTACCGTGTCCGAAGATGTCAGTGGTTTACAATGCTATAGTCATTATAAAAACTAAGCCGTGAAACATGCACTGGCATCCAATGGTTGAGGATACTAATCTGACCAAATGTGCATATGTGGGATTATAGATCATTAAGATATTTTAGGCATATGGGTCCTGCTCATACTGCTAGGCGCACCGCTTGTGACCGCAGTAGTAACAATGATGGGAATTGTACTTTGGAGACGAAGTTGCAATGTCCGTGTATTTAAGTATTATTTAGCATGCATTGTTGCCGGTTACTCGTGGTGGTGGAATGTAAGGGTGCCGAGTATTGGGCCCACGTGACGGTCGTAGTAGGTCTTGCACTTGCTTGCAGGTTTAGACTACGTCAAGCATCCATTGACTGGCACCCAAGTTTCACATATAGCTCCTCAAAACTAGACTCTATCTGGCGACCATACCTCAGCAACCGCCTCGACCAGCGGGCGGTGAAGGTATCCTTGTGTGTGTGCATCTCCACACACGTGGTAATTCAGCTCCGATTCCACCACCGCTGGCCGGATGGGTCATTGCACCACGCCATCTTTGAACTGAGAGGCCATCTGCAACCCCGACGGAGGCCTCAGATTAAGTGATGCCCAAGTAGGCCGAATACGGCTTATTGTCCTTCCCTGCTCGCCCTTGAGTTTTGAGCACTCAGCAAGCTTCTGACCCAGTGACTTGAGGGCTGGACACCTTTCTACTTCTTCGCGCCTATTCTCCGCCCACTTCCTACGCCCTTCACTCCCCTTACCATATGCTCTGCTCTACTCACTTGCATTGATGGCTCCGATCTGTTTGTCCTAGTTGTCTGCTCACTGCTTACATTTCGGCAATTAGTTGGCTTCGAGAGAGAGAAGGAGAACCCTGCTTCCAGTCGCTCTGCCTTTCCCCCATCCTCCTTGTCCCCACTTTAAACGTCATACGGTGATAGCAACAGCAATCACGTAGGCGGTCCAGGTTAACGTGCTGCTTCCTCCCACTTAACAAATTCGGGGCCCATGGCGGAGACCGATATCCGTCTGGGATGCTCAAAAAGTCCTTGTTAGAGGCAGCACTGCCTAGCTCCGGGAGAGGACGGGACTCGAAAAAGTACCAGACACGCACGCTGGATTAATGTCATCCGCACGCTGACCGTGGCTTGCAGATGCGAAACACACGGTCGAAACAGCCAAACACAATATCATGCTCTAT